CATTTAGCGCAGGTTCTTGAAGCCGAAATTGTGTGGGCTCATATTCAAGGATGTTCGGTACTCAGTGAGTGAACTTTCTAACACTTAAGCTAAGTTTCACATTACAAGTAGGCTACTATACATCTTGCTTATTTAACGGCAGAGTTATTCAAGGCCAGCGTGAGAAATAACGATCATTCAAACTCTCCACTCAAGTGAATACACTCTTAAAAAAAAAAGGTGCTTCACGATGCCATAGAAGAACCTTTTTGTCTAAATGGTTCCATAAAGAACCTTTAATATCTGAAGAACCTTTCTGTTTCACACAAGGTTCTTTGTGGTGAAAAAAGGTTCTTCAGATTACAAAAAGGTAAGAAATAGATGGTTCTTTAAAGAACCTTTGACTGAATGGTTCTTTGTGGAACCAAAAATGGTTCTTCTATGGCATCGCTGTGAAGAACCTTTTGAAGCACCTTTATTTTTAAGAGTGTATGTTACCCTCTGACCCATGCTTTTACTGCCTCTGATTAAGTTAGGCGGTAATAGAAGAGCCCCACCAGGACACTTACACTAGCTGTAATGCTATAGGCTATGTATGACTGCCAGTTTTAGTCAAGGAGCATTCCATGAGATCTAATTATGCTTCTACCACACTGGATTTTCTGCTTGAGGTAGAGACATGTAATCACATAGTAAGCAGCTTAGATTAGAGCTTGAGGTCTCCTTTGTGTGGGTGATTGCCTTCAGATATCTCAACAGTCAAAACAGAATAACTAAACTTATGTCTTTCATTGGTATGCCCAAGGAGTTCGCCTCAAACCTGTTTAGATTGCATATATGACAAAATTGCATAAACATTTTGGCCAAGTATTTGTTCTCTCTGTCTGTCCTTAAAGGAACAGTTTCCTCCAAAATGAAAATTCTGTCATCCGATATTCACTCTCACGCCGTTCCAAACCTGTATGACACATAAGTAATATTTCGAAAAACGTGCTAGACGCACAATCAGTTACAATGAATTGAGACCGAAGCTTTCAGGTTTAAAAAATGACACAAAAGCACCATAAACATATCATAAAAGTGGCTCATATGATGCTTCTGAAACCAAGATTTGAATCATTAGTCACTAACAATCTTCACTTTAAGTGAAGTTAACCACTGCAACCAAATCACTGAACAAGTGAGAAGAACTTACGAACTGGATCTGTTCACTTTTCAAATGAATCATTCAGATTTGTTTTGGGAACCAAATCAATCAATTCATTAGAAAAATTCCAACTTAAACGAATGATTCATTCACAAATTTAGGCACTGTTACTTATTTCATAAACTCTTATGTGATTTAGTCACATGGATGACTTTTTTTGATGGTTTATGGTGCTTTTGCAACCTTGAAAGCTTCAGTTCCTGTTCACTGTAACTGCATGGAAAAGACCATGGAAAAAAGTTTTCCTTTAGTGCTCTGTAAAAAAAAAGGTTACACAAGGCTGAATAAATGATGACAGAATTTTAATTTCTGGTTGAAATATTCCTATAATCTATTAGTCTGTGCTCTTCGAAACATGACCTGTTCCTGCTTCTCTATCTTTACTCTCAACAACAAATTTACTTTATTTATATGCTGAAAAACAAGAAGGTTAGCATGATGTTGCAAACATGTCCAAGCTTTACGTTGCAAAACATCCCTTTCTATTTCTTTTCTCAGAGTACCATTGTCAGGCGGAAGCAGCCATTAGCGGCATTAGTGCACATACCCCTTTGCAGTTCGTTCTGTAAATCATCCATGCGACGACAAAGCCCCAGCTATAAATAATAGGACACTGAGAATGTGAATACTGGATCTGGCCAGGTGCACTGAGCTTCCCTATCTCCCCTCGGAGCTAATGGACCAATATGGGAGAATGGAAATTGATTCGAGCTAGTCAGTAAATTAAGAATTCACCGCTTACATTTTGTGTGTGTGTGTTGGGGGGATGTGTTGTTTATTGGAATTCGAATTACGTAGGTAATTGGGGATGTAGAAAATGTAAACAAGAATAAATGCTGCTTTGCTTTTATTCATGTCAATGAAGCCCACTATTGTCCTTTGGTGATATGCCTCTCAAGACAATGGGCAGAGAAAGTGACAAATGTGTGATAGAGGAAATTAGACACTATAGGACAGATTCCAGGGAGAATTAAAAAAGCTTTAAAAACTTAAAACTTTAAATTTTTCATTTGTTAAGACACTTGTGGTTAATAGTATTATCAAAATACATTTTATTATGCTGAAAATTCATATCATTAAAATCGACTAAGGGTGCTTTCACACCTGTAGATCGATTGTTTTTTTCCCAAACAGGGATTAAAATTATTACAATGTTGCTTTTTATTCTTGGTGCGGTTCGCTTTCACACGGCAAAGTTTCTAAATGGACCAAATTTGTTAATACAAGTCACGCGCAATAAAACGGCATTAGAAAATGAAAAAGTGCGCTTTGATTTTGAATGGCAAAGACGTGCTCACCCACAGATATTCACAGGTTCATTTTGAAGTATTAGCAAAACAACAAAGCTAATGCTTTTCACAAGTATTTCACGCAAATACTTTCTCACTACAACCGAACCGCTCCAGAGTTAATTTTCAATCGAGCCGAGAACACCTCGTTCAGGCGATCTCGGACCGATTGTTTTGGCGCGGATCCGAGCGCGATTGCCATGTTCACATATGCTCAAACGAACCAAGCTAAGGGGGGAAACGCGCCAGGTTCCGAAACAACGGGCCAGGTGTGAAAGCACCCTAAATAGTAAAATGTGCGGTTAAGAACATTAATGCATGTTATATAATTACACCTATGAGATCCAAAAGTGTCTTGATTAATTCTGTAAGAAATAAGCACAAATTTTGATAGCTAAAAATGGGTCAGGCTACACTCTTTCTGAGTGAAATGTGCTCAGATGTGAATTTCAAGGATTGGGTTTCAACATTTTCAAACAACATGCAAATGCATGGATGTAATTCAAGGTTTTCTGTGTTACATCATGTCCTTGGTACTACAAGACTTCTTATACATTATGGAAACTGTTCAAAAATGCATAAAGGATAGGTTTTTTGACATGGAATGTAAGCCTCAAAATTCTGAATTCTCTATGTAAAGTGAAATCCAGAGACCTGATAAGAAGCCATATTTCCTATAATTATTTTAGTACAGAATAATCTCCTTTGGCATAGTGTGGATTTTGCCTAGTATTGGCTGCAGCAGGTAATCTTTTATTGCCTGAAAATAGCCAACAAGCATAACATGTCAGCGCCACACTCCCACAGACACAGGACTATAAAGCCAAATATTTAAGGCTAGAGGTGAGAAAGGTTATCAGAACTCTCCTCAAATGGATTCCATGCTTTTCACAGGTTTTCTAATCTTTCCATATGGGTGGTTTAAAGTGATGCCCATGTGTCTGTCTGTGTGAGCATCAGTGGAAAGAGATTGTAGTAATCCATGGGTGTAATCTGAGGTACAAGTGGCTGTGAGGGAGTTTATGAGGACTGTCCACAGAATGCTAAGGCCAGACTGGAGTCTGAATGACAGCTAACACAAACTTAAGCTTGTAGAACCCCAGAGGAGCTCAAGCATGGACAACACCTCTCAAAGTAACGCAGAGGCGGTGCGTTTTTGTGCAGGTTTCTATAAAAACTCTTTATGAGAACACATCCTCTTCAACATTTGGAGTACCTGCTGCCATACCTGCTATGTTAGAGTCTTCCAATATAGTCCTTACACCGAGTCTTACACTGCTCTCTAAAATATTTTTGGAGTTCCAAACTCCAAACAATTAGCTACTGACTATCATTAAAAATGCCCTTAATTGTGCACTTAAAACCTTTCATATATTACTAGAAGCTAAAGTGTCCACAGTTAAAGCAAGAAAACAGAAATACTGTTGTTAAATAGGTTAGCTAACTAATCTAAAGAAAAACTAATATTTGTAAAAAATAAAAAAAATAAAAATAAAAAATAGAAATATCTGTCAGTCTGTCTATCTATCTATCAATGGCCAATAAACCTTCAAACTTTAAGGCTTCTTAAACTTTTTTTCAGTTTTAAATTCAGTTTATTTTTCTTAAAGTTAAAAAACCCCAGCTATATTGATTTCTTTAAATTTTCGATCCCACTTTATATTAAATGGGCCTAATACCTGTGTACTTACATAGTAACTAGATGTGTACGTAGTATCCAAATTTTCATTCAAATTAATTTAAAATTGAATTGAAATTTAAAAGACGTTCTTGGTTGACGCCGAATGCAGGGTCCATCAGGACCCCAACAGTACATTATGCCTTACATCTGAGCCAGATCTAACCTAGCAGTGAACCCAGTAGATATGATACAAAAGATTTCGCCTTAACCTCATTTCTCATCTCATGCTGAAGAAACTTAAGGAGAGGCTTTGTAGAAGTATTAGATGGATGAGAGATGTTGATACACTGTGCCAATCTACCTCCGAGCCCCCTCCTCATCAACCCTTGACTCAGAGAGGGAGCACAAGTCCTCTTCTTACCTTAGAAGGGCTCTCAGCAGCAGACGCAGAAGAGCTGTCTGAAAGAAGGCTCTTGAAAATGTTCACCTGTGATACTGCTTTTTAACCTCTTAGGTTTCTCTGCGGTTCAAGAGACGTGGCGAGGAAAGCTCTGTCTTTCAGAAGTGCGAGGCCTGAGTAAAAGCTTCCACGAGGAGACTTGAGAGGCTTGTTCTTTTATGTCTCAAAGGGACACAGTGTAACTTCAGTTGTGGAACTGTCAGTTCTGAAAGACACAGCTTGCCAAGCTCTTGAGTTTTTTTATTCATGGCTGAATGTTATATTTGTTTTACTAATAACCAAGCAGTATGTGTCAAAATATTCCATATGATCGTCAAGTAAAAGCGATGGAGATGTCAAAGCAGGCAGAAGACATTAAGGTCTTGTGTGTTTAATCAAAATAAACCCAGCAAATCTTCCAGGCTCTTTATAACAAGTAAGCTGTGAACAGAAACTGTTACTGACCCTGACGAGAACTTGAGGGAAGGGTCCTCTGGAGTTTTCAGGCACATTGATTGGCGGAATGACCCAGTCTCTCTTCTGTCGCCGCAGCCCATTGGATGAGCCACGCTGGTGTTGTCGTGGAAATGTAATGAGCCTGGGATTTTGATAGTGGTTGTGGGAGGATCCGCCATAAACACCATCCCCAGCAAACTGTGGAAAGCAGATACGTACACTCCATATGAAGCAGATCTTGATATTCACACACAAAGACAGTTTATTAAAAAGAAACTATAAAGAATAAGAATATATATATTTGTATATATTAGGTTTATATTAGGTTTTTCCTCGATTAAATTAGAGTACTCTATTATAGCATGTTGTGTGTAGAGAGAAGAACTGGTCTAAAGTTCACTTTAGTGATGAGAGCAAGTTTAATTTATTTGGGTTTGATGGGAAACATTTTGTTTGGCGTCAAACTGAGGAAAGACTGAACCCCAAGTGCGTAAAGAAGTCAGTAAAAGGTGGAGGAGGAAGTGTCATGGTTTGGGGGATGTTTTCTGCAGCAGGAGTTGGGCCTCTTATACAGCTACATGACAGGGTGAATGTTTATCAGAACCTCCTTCAGCAACATGCAGTTCCTTCCCTGCAAGCATCTCCCAAACAGCCTGCAATTTTAATGCAAGACAGTGCCCCCGTTACACTGCAAAACGGGTAAAGCAGTTCCTTGAAGCTAAGAACATTGAAATAATGAAATGGCCGGGCCAGAGACCTGATCTAAACCCGATTGAAAATCTCTGGAAAATCCTTGGCAACAAAGTTATGGCTAAGAAACCCACTAGTTACCGAAATATGGAAGAGAGTTAATTTTAATTTAAAAAGTTTAATATTTTAATATGTGCTTTGTCATTTTTATTTGTTTTTTATATATTTCTATTTAGCTTTATTTGTATTTCAGTTTTAGTTTTATTAATTTTAGTACTTTAATTTTTTTATCTAATATGTATATTTTGTTTTATTTCAGCTTTATTTCAATTAACAAAAATAATTTTTAAAAGTTTAAATTAACAACAACAACAACAACAACAACAATAACACTGGTTTGGGTAAATTGGATTTGAGTTAATTAAACTGCTACTTAAATATAAATAGACTAAAATTAATGAATGAAATGAAAAAATATTGAATTTAAATACTATGACAAAACAAAAAGAAAAAAAAGAAAAAAAAATGAACACTGCTCAAACAGAAAGGGGAAAAACTTGGAAACAGAGTTTAATGAATCACAATTGAGAACTCTTTTAAGTCTCCCGAGTTATAAGAGAAATTAACAATGTACATTGGACAGTTTGAAGAGACAAACACACCTTTAATTGGAGAACATACCTGTCCAATTACTACTAATCACTCATTATTTGTGAGGTAATGATACAAAACAGTTGTGGAGCAGTACGTGCACACCTGAGCCCTGCGCTAGGATTGTAAACATAGCTGTGGGGTTTCTCCTAAAACGACCAATCAAAATGACAAATCACGTCAAGGCCTCTGTAAACCAGCCCCTATAACACAGCAATACCACAGTGACGCATACCATGACATTTCCTCATGGGTGCCCAATGAAAAAGATTGATGAAATACCACATCAATAATTTAGACAAGAAAAACTAGAGCTGCCGCTGACCCTCACTTGATTCATCCAAAGGCCAAGGAAAAGGACTGATGCAACCAATCAAACAGCCACCGTTTTTCACAGCGGCTGACTGTGTGTGAGTGTGTGGGGAAGGGGACTGTCCTGCGGTTCATTTAGTGTCTTTAGTGCTCATCTCTGAATTGTCAGCTTTTCATGTAATCCTGTGTTGCTGTTTCTTCCCATGACACCTCAACGTCTGTGGCACTGCATTTTCTAGCCGAGATGCTTTCGCCAAATCCCAGTCTTCTTTCTCTCTCTCTCTCGGTCTGTCTGGCGTCCCTCGGCGGGGGTTGCTAACTCAAGCATGTCTCACAAACACGGTTTGTCGGCAGAAGAGCTCGAACAGATGTGAGGCAAATCTGAGCAAACATATTGTATTTTTTCCCTCTTTTGTTTTAATTTTTCACAGCTGCAGGGGCACTGGCTGCAGGGGCTTGGAAAATGGAGGGATTGCAGCGGAGGGAGGGAGCTCTGAATGAGTGAGGAGGGCAGCTGTGAGGTGCTGATAAAATCACTTCTGCCTTAGCTCTGCTCATCCACAAAGCTCACAGGTACCCGCTGCAGCAACAGAGAGAGGCTGCAACGAGACCTTTCGGGGGGCGGCAGGTGGAATTACTGTGCATAAGAGGGTGAAATAGAGAAAGAAGAGGTTGGAGAATGGAAAAGAGATCAAGGTGAAATCAAGTTGAGCAGTGAAGGCTAAATAATCCTCCTAGAGAAAAGAACAATTTTAAGAAGGCATTCGAAGCTCCTGTGTCTAAACAGCCAACTCGGCATGTGGTTATGCCATCTTAAAAATTGGCATCGATGGTTCCATGAAGTAAGTAATAATTGATGACGGGCCATTGAATTATTGAAAAATAATGACCACCCGAGGTGGTAATTCAATTCAATTCAATTCAAGTTTATTTGTACAGCGCTTTTCACAATACAAATCATTGCAAATCAACTTTACATCAAATTAAGTTTCTACAATATTTAGTGGTAGCTTATGTGGGCACGATGTGAAAGAGGGGTTTTTGTCCTTTAAACACTCTTATGTATTTTGGTCACACTTTAGTTTGGGGACCAATTCTCACTATTAACTAACCATTAACTATGAGTTTTGCCTCAATAAACTCCTAATTTGCTGCTTATTAATGCTTAGTAAGTTAGTTTAGGTATGGCATAGGATTAAAAATTCTAGAATATGGTCATGCAGAATTAAGCATTAATATGTGCTTTATAAGTACTAATAAACAGTAATATGCATGTTGCTAGTTGTAATAAGCAAGCAACTAGTTAATAGTGAGAATTAGTCCCTAAACTAAAGTGTTACCACTAATTTCTTACGGATATCATCCCAAGTCTCCATTGGTAATTCCAAAACATAATTTTAGAGCGAGTAATAGAGGCTTGAGACATAAATATGCAGACTAATGCAGTTCTGTCATGACAACTCTTGGAGAGTTATATGGTAATATTCATGGCAATGATAATGTGTTTGGTCTTGGCGGAATAGATCTGCAACGCTGCTGCTGCGGCAGATCAAGTACTGAGACTTACTACTGCCAATACATCCACATATATGATGCTGTGAGCATGTAAGAAATACTGTTGCTGCACATATAACATAAAATAACCCCCATATATAGCATACATGAAATCACCCTGTAGCAGATCGTCTCAGGTTACTTATGTAACCATGGTTCCCTGAGTAGGGAACGAGACACTGCATCCTCTAGGGGTCGCTATGGGGAACGCCTCGTCGTGACCCGTGTCTGAAGCATACATTGAAAAAACACCAACTCGTTGGACGGCGACAGCCATGATGTCACTACCGGTGCAACTATAGTATAAATAGGCGCCGGGAGAACACGTCATTCACTTCTTCTTCTGAAGCTTGCGTCCGAAGCATGGAAAGAAACCTAGAGGACGCAGTGTCTCATTCCCCTCAGGGAACCATGGTTACATAGCTCTTACTTTTTCCTTGGAAATGCATGCTTCAAACAGAACAGTCAATGAAGACGAAGAAGAGAATGATGTGTGCTCCCGGCGCCTATTTATACTATAGTCGCACCGGTAGTGACGTCATGGCTGTCGCCGGCCAACGAGTTGGTGTTTTTTCAATGTATGCTTCAGACACGGGTCACGACGAGGCGTTCCCCATAGCGACCCCTAGAGGACGCAGTTCGAAGTTCCCATGAAAGGGAACTATACAGGTGGAGCTTGGGAAGGTGGAGGGTTTCTGAACTGCGCTGCAACTGCTACAGCAAGCACTAGCCGAGTATTTGAATGTTGAGCAGCAAGTTCTTTGGCAACTGATGTGAAAAAAAAAACAATCAGCTGCACCATGTGAGCAATGATGTGATTATATCAGATTGAGTTATCAGCCAGCGCCATCTAGAGTTTCATGACAGAACTTTGTATTTCTTAGAGAGAGAGAGAGAGAGAGAGAGAGATTAAGCGTGTGTAAATTACCTGAGTCTGTGTGTTACTAACTTCGAAACTGTAAGTTTAACTTCTTCAAACAACTGTGCCGTTACAACTTTGCTACTGAGAAATGCCATATAGCTTTTCATTTGCAAACTACTTTATTGAAAAAGTCAATGGCAGGGCAGAGCTGACAACAAATTTCTGTGCATGTATGTTTGCGTGCGAGTGTGTGTCTGTACATTATCTGTGTGCATGCAGAGAGCTGGAGAAAGAAAGAGTTTTATTATCCATAGGTTTATTATCCCTAGGGTAATTTTGTTGAAATAAACATGGAAGTTGTAATTTTTAAGCATGATAGTCATGTTAGTCATATTTGTTTGCTTGGTCAGTGTGTTTTGCGGCTAATGCGGTCGACAGACCTGGAACTATATGTAGCTATGCGTTTATTGGAAAATAACTGCATACCTTAGAACATTCAATGACTGATCAGAATCAAGTATTCAACATCCCCCTGGTATAAGAACCTTTGACATTCATGGAACCTTTGTATTGAACAAAAGTTTCTTTAGATTATTAAAATGTTCTTTACAGTAAGAAAATAGTTTTTTTAAAGAACTGTTCACTGAAAGTTTTTTTGGGGAACACATAATGGTTCTTATGGCACCACTTTTATATTTAAGAGTGTGCCCAGTCAGCAACGTCACCTTCGGGAGGATTCTTTCAGATACAGTGTGACCAGTCAAATGTGTTTGAACACAGACAAAAGCTTTATCTCTCCCATCACAGATTTGTTCATTAGTGCAGGGTATTCATCTTCTCGATCTGTCTCTTACTCCATCTCATCATTGTTTTTTGCCAGCTGACAAACAGGACATTGGGAGCTGTGATAAAGACCTTGATTTATCAATCAGCTCTCATTGGCGCTGCAGAAGCATTCCTCCGAATGTGTAGCCAACAGCACGGGAAGATCCAGGCTGGCGGCGCCAATGAATGGCACAGACTTACAACAGCATGCCTAATGAAAAGGTTTATTCCTTCGGTAGGGCAACAAGCACTGCACCCATTACAACAGACAGTGAGGAAAGAATAAACTGGAACAAGCATGTTGTGTTGTGGGAAGGCGCACGGCAGATGTAAGGAATGTGCTGCTACATATACAGGTGCATATCAATAAATTAGAATGTCGTGGAAAAGTTCATTTATTTCAGTAATTCAACTCAAATTGTGAAACTCGTGTATTAAATAAATTCAATGCACACAGACTGAAGTAGTTTAAGTCTGTGTGTGTGTGTGTGGGCGCATTCGGGAGTCAGCGTGTGTGAAATGGCTGCCTGGATTGCCCTGAGCTCCTGTAGCTCCAGATAAACCAGCCCTGCCAGCTGGCTCCCCATCCCTCCCCGCTGAGAAGAAACCCGTTTGGGCATCAGTCAGCCTGCAGCTCTGCAGCAGACATCTGGAGGTTATTGTTCTATAGGGCCGCATTGCACTGCTTGCAACCCTGTCTGGAGTTTTCCATTGCATGCCAGTGTGCAAATTCCCCACTAGGCAGCACTCATTTGCTACTTTCATAATTTGTCTTCGCACCAGACCTCACCGTCGGGAGAAAAAGGTAAATTAACTTGTTTTTTTACTAAAGTTCCATTATTAAAAAGTGAGAAGAAACAGTTTATAATAAGTACTGCAAAAATGCTCCACTAATCGTGTCAGGTGACTTAAGCTAGGTGGCATTAGGGTTTTATTTATAACAAACATACCACTACTGAATCTACAGGATGAAACCAAGTGTGCCGCACACATCCTGAAAAGTGAATCCAAAACATTTAATTCGCCACCTGGTGGCTGGCTGCAGTATAGGTCATAAACCCTGCCCTCTCCATGTAAAAGAAATGGGATGCGAGCCAAATTAAATAATCAAATCACACTTCAAATACATTTTTACCAAACATGGTTTCCATCATTTTAGGTAGTTCTTATCACACTGATGTATGTTCAAGTGTTCATTTTTCTAATAAGTTTGGTTTTAATTAGTTTTTTGATGCTATAAAAACGGGGTGTGGTGTCATGTTTGTGAGCTTGCGATTGGGTCTGCGGGAGTTTGGGCGGGACTTCGATACCGCAGCTCCACCTCACGATCACTGCTGTGCAGACTTGGGCTCACTTTTCTATAGTGGAAGGAAGAAATGCGTCGTCCATCTTTATTTTTATTTTATTTTTTTACAGTCTATGGATGAAACACATACAGCATGACCAGCAGTAGTCAAATTCCTAAACAAATTGGTCTTATGGGGAGGTTATATTATATGAACCAAACAATTACATTATGATGGAACGTCAATACGGAACACTTTTGAGCCAGTACCAATTCAAAAACAGAGTGTGAACAGTGTAGTCTGACTCCCAAACAAATTAGTCTTATAAACATATAACACAATAAATTAACTCTAATTCCTGAATGTTTGAGCCGGTTCCTTTTAGTTAATCAAAAACAAAAATTGTGATGTGTGAACTCCAATTGTAATTTTAATATGATTACTGAACAAATGACTCTTTTGAATTGGTACTTTTTTTAGCGAATCAAAAATACACAGCGTGTCCAGTGTTGCCAGATTTCTGAACAAACAACTCTTTTGTTTTTGATTCACTTGAAGCCAAAGAAATGGCTCATACAGTGCAGCAAGTGTAATATCTGACTCGTACTGAATTTTTTTAAAAACAAAAAGCATACTGCATATGTTGTACTTAAAGCTTGTAAGACTTAAAATCAGTTTAGTTTCTGACTCTTTGTTCATATGACTTTATAGAGTTGAGAGGAAAACAGAACTAATGGCTGCTGAACATAATTCCCAGCACACATGAATTCCAACTTCAGCTTAGGGGCAGATGAGGCTCATATTGAGCTAAATGCCAGCCAAAGAACAGTCCTGGATATTTTTAGACCTGAACCATCCAAAAGCATAGAAACTTTGCTCAATAAAACATGTTGGGGGACAAAGAAACTGCACTGGCTGGAACTTGTCACCCCAGAAGGAGATACAACGGAATATACTAGAATGAAAGTTGCATATAGATCAAACCAATAAAAGACACACCATCTAGGCAAATACCATGCAAGTTTATAATGAACTACATGTAACCTACTGACATTTACGCTCAGCAGAGGCACAAAGAATTGCACTGAGGGATGTCTTTGTTGATACACATTTGATAATACCAAGCTTCCATATCGCTGTCTTTCAAAGTATCTCGTAACAAAAGACTTGCTTACTTCGTAAATGAGACGCCTTATTTTTAATTACTTTTATGGCAAACGAGTCATGGTGCTGTATCTGTGTGTGTTTGCATTCTGCATGTGAGTGTGTTCTTTTAAGATGATGCTGATCTTAAGGGCTAATTTCTATGCTAATTTCGCTAAGCTTAACCTCTAAATATATCGTCTTTCAAGTCAAGAGGCCAAAAATATATTAAATAAATGTATAGAAAAGTAAAAAATGAATCTATATTGTCTTATGGGAGGTCAAACTTTCTGCCAGCACAAGTAATTTGATGTAACATGCATGTAACCCCTTACCAAAAGGGTACTATGATGTTAATACTATGGTATTATTATTATTATTATTATATAGATACAGTATATAAAAATGTGTATATACAAAATAATAATCAATTATTATTATTATTATTGGACATAATTAACTAAATTAATAATTTGATTAATAATTAAAAACAATAATATAAAAACAATCCATTTTTTTATTCTGCTTGGCCATGATAAAATATATAATATTAATTATATTAAGTAAACTGTCGTAGACTGGACAGTGTGTGATTCAGTGTGTGATTCAGATAATGTGATTCTTATATGTCTAACACTTATATGCAATATACTTTTAGCAATTCAGTTAAAGAGTCCTGGAAAAACCTTATGCTACCTAATTAATATTCATTAGCCAAACTGATAAGATTCATAATATGTCCCCTTACTTTGTCAGATAGTTCCTATGACCTGCTGTTTGGTACTTCATTGAGTCACTTGAGGAGAAATAGTTAATGAAAATCACATCTGTCAGGAATTAGAGACAAGACAGATGAAAATCAGGCACGTAAACAGATGAAAACACATCTTAATGCTGAAATACTCTGAGAGCTAAACTACTTCATTTTTATTTAGATAATTTTTTCATTAATTATTTATAGTCTCAACTAGGTCAGAGAGTTGCAAAGAGTCACATCTCCCAGAACACCCATGTATCTTCTTGCTTCGTGTGTGTGCGCACACTTGTGCGTTTGTCCTTCAGTAACCTGCCGTAACCGGCAAGGAGACATTTCTCTAAATGGTCGTGCAGAAGGAGAGGACATGTGTGGGGTTAGGGACACGGGGATAGGGCTCGCCAGACCAGACTCCTGGATCCCTAGAGGACCTGCATTCCTGCCTCTCTGCTTGGCATTTCATCTCTTAAGTAGTTCAGGCTAAATTATTTGCATAAAACAGACAACTGACACAATCAGATATTCAGGAATAAATATTTGACATAAATTACACATAATTTGTCCTTGCCTGGTTATTATGAGGTGATGGCGGGTGTCCGGCGAGGGCCAGTTTAACAGTGGTCTCCCAGATATACTTGCCCACGCTGTCTCTGGCCGTCACCATGAACTGGATCGGTTCAGTTAGAGTTGTCACATCTTGCTCTGCATAAAGAGAGCCATCCGGCCCAACACTGAACTTTGGGTCACTGCTCTCAAAAGAAACCTCCTCTTTTTGCTGACAGGTTTTGAACTTCACTGCAAGGAAAGAAAGAAAGACATTAAATAACAATGCTCACAGACGCAAAAACTGTTCAAAGCAATCTTGTTTTTGGCCAACATGTTTCATTGCTCTTGCCCACACATTTGTCACTGTCTATCTCCCCTACTACGCTAGACTGCTTATTAAATAAAACGCTGTGGTTATATACAGTATAAACATATTGTAGCTATTACAGTTAAGGTGGACAAGGCATTATTGATTCAATACTTCATTCAGCCACATACAGACCAATAAATAAATAAATGAAATGAGTTATATAGGTAATAAATGATGCGGTTGCGGCTAAATTCAATAATATAAGCAATGAACTCAGTAACGTAACAGGAAACATAAGTTACCAAGATACCATACCATACTTAAATCTGATAATGTTAACAGTATATAGAAAAAGGCTAATTTGAGATTCTCTTAATAACACACTGTTCTGACAGAAGCAGTGTTAAAATTCAGCTTTTCTTAAAACAAGTGAAGACAGCAAACAGAATGAGTGAGTCATATGCTTTCTCCTGCTATGGTTGTTTGGAAAGGGTTCTGGTCAACAACAGCAGATGGTCCGTTCAGTTACACCTGAGGGAAAGTTCCACAAATTCAGCTCTACTTAAAGTGAGCGAGTGAGCAAGTGAGAGAGAGAGAGTGCCATGTGCCATGTCTAGATTAATCACAGTTTAAATTTTAGAGCTCTATTTCACATTTACCAGAAGTTCACTCATAGAACTTGAGTGGACCGTTTATGCTCCAAGTATGGGAGACCGGGACTAGTTTTCACAATTTGTACTCCAATACATATTTCTACGGTTAAAGGACTGGTTCACCAAAAAAAATAAAAAATAAAAAATTACTCACCCTCAGGCAATCCAAGATGTAGATGAGTTTGTTTCTCGATTGGAACAGATTTTGAAAACTTTTGCATTACATCAGTTGCTCACCAATGGATCCTCTGCAGTGAATGGGTGCCGTCAGAATGAGAGTCAAAACTGCTGATAAAAACACCACAATAATCCACACCACTCCAGTCCATCAATTAACACCAGCTAATGTTTTTATTAGGTGTTTGGACTCTCATTCTGACGGCACCCATTCACTGCATCTCATTTTTGGCCAACATGTTTCATTGCTCTTGCCCACACATTTGTCATTATCTATCTCCCCTACAATGCTAAGCTGCTTATTAAATAAATCATCATGGTTATATACAGTATAGGGTTGTGCCGATAGATGATAGTATTGTGTATCGACGATAGTCAGAGATTTCATCTGTGGCTGATGCCTTTGATGATAGCAAGACGATTATTATTATTATTATTATTATTATCAGGCTAGTATAATTATCTTATTAATATTAGGGCTTATTTGTTCCATCATATTTATTTTTCCGCTTTTTTACAGTGTTGCGCGTTATAAACAATCACACATGATTCTGTTGAGTTTATGAATGCAATGGACAATCAGAGTTTTGTTGTTCCGTGCGTGCACTCGCTGACTGAATTCTGCTCTCTTGTGAATTCTCTCATTATAAACAACAAAGTGCCGATGTACGTGCAATGTAAGTATAAGAGATTTATTCATCATTCAGCGTAGACAGCTTCACTGATTATAACGTTAGTGTTTCTTAAAGTGCATAAACTCACGCTAGACTGCAGTCAATGATTATGTTCTTTGATAATGTAAATTTTTTTTGCTCGTTTTCTGTAGCTGCTGTTTGAATAACCGAGGAAATGTAAGCATCATAATTATAATATTTTATGACATGACATCCATATACTGCTTGACTAAAAATATATAATGTGTAGTTAATAGATTGCACTAACATTAGGCTGCTTTTAGTCTTACCCTGGAGTTGGTTCAGGCTATGAATCTATTTAAGTAAATAATAAAATAAATTAGCATGATAATTTTGTGTATTGGCGATCTCACAGGCTGACGACAAGACGATATGACTATGGAGGATATCGCCCAACACTAATACAGTACAAACATATTGTAGTTATACTAGTATTACATTTTGTAGTATTACAGTTAAGGTGGACAAGGCATTCACTGCAGAGGATCAATTGACCCTTCACAAAGACCCGCCCCCAGCCATGGCGCTCTAATGCGTACATCATGTTCTCACGCAGTGAAAAACACATTGCGGAACAAAGAGGAACCCCAGTTCAGTTCAAGCGGCACGTGAACCAATTATCTCTTCCTCTTTACTAGTTACGGCACGAAATTAAAATAAATGAACATCAGAAGGTATCTTGTTTCAACCACGGAAAGATGTCAATACACAGCATTTTTCAGGAATTGCTTTGACTCACTAATATTGCAATTCAAAATCATATAAAGTTATAAACAGCATTTAAAACATACGTGACCCCAACAGTATAGGTAGAGTTTCTACAGCATAGTAAAAAATATTATACTTAAATTTGGGTTAACCGTCTGGTACGGAGTTGCCATATGGCAAGAATTAATTTCTACTCATTTCCTTGTTATTCTGAAAATAAAAAGCGCAATATATTGCACTATGGGAATTAAAAGGGCAGGCCTTAAGGTAAACAATAATGTGCTGTTTTTAAGTCACATGACTTTTGAATGTACGTCCAAAACTCTTTTTCCCACTGTCACCCTCTCACGGAAGACACCTGTTGAAGTGCTCCAGAAATTGCTCTATTAACCTCATTTCTAAACATCTCTTCTCAAGTGGGATTTTTTTTGCAGCATCTTTGTTAAGTAAATAAGATATTTTTATTCACACTTTAACTTTGTCTAACATAGTTTTACTGTAAATTGAGAAAATATCAATGTGTCCATATGGCAGCGCTGTACCACAGTAGATTTGCAGTAATGTATTTCCCCATTGGGATTGTTTTTATTGATAGTAGCATCAATAATATGATTGCAGTTATTTATTTATTTGAAGTGTTTATTGTAGTATAGTTGTATTTATGTATAAATAACCATATTTTACGGAGAGACCAATAGTGCAGATTTACCAAGTATATAAATCTATCAATTTCTAAAATAAATGTGCATTTAAATAGAATAGAACATCTTAATTTTATAGAAAAACTACTTTTTTTATTTGTATGATTTCATGTAATAAAAACCTATTTGAAAAAATATTTCAAATACCACTAGATATAGCACACAATTTTACAATTACAGAGACAGAGTCCTTGTGACAACTAGCCCCAGTCTCCTCTTGGCATAAGTGTAACTTCAGCTGCATATTGTTCTGACAGTGTTCAGAACCGTAGTCTTCGCAGACTTCCAGTACTAGTGTTTATTGTAGTATAGTTGTATTTATGTATAAATAACCATATTTTACGGAGAGACCAATAGTGCAGATTTACCAAGTATATAAATCTATCAATTTCTAAAATAAATGTGCATTTAAATAGAATAGAACATCTTAATTTTATAGAAAAACTACTTTTTTTATTTGTATGATTTCATGTAATAAAAACCTATTTGAAAAAATATTTCAAATACCACTAGATATAGCACACAATTTTACAATTACAGAGACAGAGTCCTTGTGACAACTAGCCCCAGTCTCCTCTTGGCATAAGTGTAACTTCAGCTGCATATTGTTCTGACAGTGTTCAGAACCGTAGTCTTCGCAGACTTCCAGTACTAGAGGGTCAAAGCATTCCAAATAGATTTGAGTGCCGCTTCTCTCATCTCTTTCTTCCCTCAGGACTGAAAAGAAAGAAAGATGGAACTAAAATCACTTCCTACTGATTTGATCTCTCTTCCACAATCCCACTGATAACAAGACAAATTGATTTCATGAATCACTGCGGGACCAAGTCACTGGATAAGAGTGCTGTGTGAAAATGTAAAAAAAAAAAAAAGTCTGCCATGAAATATCTTGCACGACAAGTTTTTTATCAAGCCATCTATCCAATTTACCACACGGTTTCTTGCCAAAAGATGCAACAGGCTAATAAAGCGTAGAATCCATTTCACCAATTGCGGCATGGCTTGCTCAATGCTCCAGTTTCATCTGGTGAATAATTGCAAATGGGAGGGGAAGAGGCCAATATGCAGTTTTCAGAATAAGCACCAAACCACTGACACATGAAAGCATGCTGCCCACTTTAACAAGTTCTGCTCAAAACGTAAAAACAAAGTGCATCATACTGGGATAATAATAAAGTTTTACTCTGTCAGTTCTCTTGAAGATGTCTAGAAGGTTTAAATCAAGAATCAGAGAGATTTTGCTATTTGGCAACTGTCACAAATGGTCTGAATACACTAATTGCAGCCTGTTGTTGATGGGAAAATTGTTAATTTTATTTTTTCCCCTTCCTTACTAAGCATCAAGAAAAACATTTGCCAGGAGGGGGAAAAAAACACACTCATGATAAAAACAGAGATGGATGTTTCTGTGAAGCAACAACGGCAGTCAATGTTTATGTAAATTAGGCTAATTTGCTTTAATGGAATGAGGTAATTATTGTCATTGAAGACTTTTTGTCACTCCACAACTGCCTCTGACATACAGAGGGTAAACCTGCGGATCAAGCAATAAAGGCTAAACCTTGAGTGTTTGCATAAGAAAAACACTGGATTCACAGGAGTTGCCCTGCATGATATTGTTTTATTATGGGATGGGATGTTGGCATGGGAATACAAGAATGGTCAGCCTCAAAGTGTGTTGTTCAAAAACAACAACCCCTAAGAAGATGCCAAACCAGAATTCTCTCTTACTCTCTCTGTCTTGGTGTTTCTTGTTTTCATAAATACAGACAGGGTTGTACAGACATGTGCCCACTAGTCTCAGCTTCACATGAAAAGCACATGAAAATAAAAGTCCATTTACTGATCTCCTCATGCATGCTAAACATAAAAACCGGCTAGCATCTGATTGTTTGACTATGCACCAATCTGCCTGATGAACTTCCTGATTACAGTTACGTGATGACCGTGTGATGACCATCATCTGACCACCAATTAGAACACAGTGCATTTACTAAACATTTTG